ACAATGTTCCTAATACATAAATCAGCGGATCCACAGGGACTTGACAAGACAGTATCTTTTCTGTTTCTATTTTAATGTCCTGCCAATAATTACAAAGAACTGGGAAATCATAGAAGAGTGATCCGCCACTATGCCACAATTTCTCCAACATAATGGGCGCATGTTTTTGTAGAAACTTCTAAAATATCTAATTTCTGTCTTCCAAATTCCTGCCATAGATTACTGTTGACACTTTCCATGTCTTATCTGCAATAATTACATTTAACTCTAATTCTCATTTATCTCTGACATCCAGTGAATCTTCTCCCATTTCTCCCATCAACATCTTGTATATTAATGACACGTTTCATGGTCGGCAAATCTTTTTCTTGTATTGTTATAAAATACCTCAATACTAGTATGTTCTGCTTAAATTTTTTTCCATTCAACATGACTCTGAATGTAGCGCCTTATTTGTAAATAACAAATGTGACCTGTTGAGGGTAAAGAAAACTTTTTGTATTTGAGTAAATGATTTTAAGGTAATATAGGACCTTCAAAGAATATTTCAGCAGTCTATTTGTGTATCCTGTTTTACAATATTTAATCTGGCTCTTATTAAATCCAAAATGCAGAAGTACCTGTGGTTAATCATACATCAGTTTCACGTGGTACTCAGCGTTTAATCAGTGCACATGGTCAAACATGATTACAGTAGCCTCGAGTACTTCAAAAACCGTAATAATACTGTACTAGTAATCAGTAGTAACACGCCCGCCCTCTCTGAAGAATCTGACCTTGCAGCCATTTCACAGTAACAATGTTTAAAGTTCTTTGTAGATAATTGGAACAGAAACATGGCTGTGTCCTGGTTGACCCCTGATACTCCACCACTCCCGGTGTCGAGTAGTTTGGCCTTTGGGGATTTCACAAACAAACCGTGTCTGTGGGCCCCGTGACCTTTGACCCTCACTTAGCTGCTCCGTAATCCAGGAGGAAACACAGGGTGAAAAGAAAACAAGCCTGCGTGTGATTTGGATGAGCCCATTTGCTCTTGTGACAAAATGTAATGATTTTAATATTGTTTTTGTTTATTTGTAAAGTTGTACTGTGTCTAGATTGTTCCTTTGCCTGGATTGTTACGCAGTATGACATTAAATTTATCCATCTCTAAGAATCCAAGAGTGGCTGTTTTTTCAAGGTACTTATTATCACTATTATCACTTATTACTGTGCAACTTTCTGGAGGGTCTACTTGTCTTGCTTTGCCTGGAATGTTCCATAGTATAACATTAAACATATCCATCTAGGCTTCATTCATTACAGGTGTTTCTATTGCTCAAAAATACAATAATTCCTCCTGTGAATAGGGGCGACTCTCCACAGATCTGAGTTGTGATGTAGCATCTCCCTCGTGATAAATAGGTTTAATCTATATTGCGAAACAGTAAAGACAAAGCAATAATATTAACATGGAGACAACCAGGTAGCCTGATTCATCAGCCGGTTTCACTTCGTAGAAACCGTGTGACCTCGCAGCATTAGGGTTCGTTCTCTCCACAGTAGGCGGGTACTTTTTTTATTTAACCAATCACTGCTATTTGGTCGTGACAAATGTAATGCTCCAAATCCCATAGGAAGAAGGACAATAACATCTTGCCTGTATATACTGTATATAGATATTTAATGTTATTTTATAGATGTTTAATGTCACACTATGGAACATTACAGACAAAACAAATTGGAGAAAATGTATTCTTGTGACCTTTAAGGCATGTTCGAATGTTGTTACCTCCTCAAAAAGCTGCGTTTTGCTTCATTCACACAGGTCTGAATAATCCTACATTATTGTCTGTCTACATCTCCAAAGCTCAAAATGTTCCCCTTGATAAAATTCACCAAACATTTTCTTTGTTCCGGCTTTAAATCCCTGATCTCGGGAATCGTTGCCAAGACAGAATGTATGACTTCATCTTCATCCATCTCGACCACTTTGTTTACTGTTTGTACCACAAAAGGGACCCGGACAAGCGCTTGATTTTGACATCATTTTTTCATTGGCCGGTGCACGTTCTACAACTTCTGGAGTTCTTGCAAACTGTCTAGTGTTTTCCGATTCCTGACCTAGTCGCTGGAGAGAAATGAAATTGAGCGGAGGCACTAGGTGGCGCCAGCCTGGCTAACAAGCAGGACCCTCCACTAGAAATGTTACATAGTCCACCTTTAAAAACACCTGTAAATTGAATAAATGCAAAATGATTGGGATTGGTGTCCTTATTTGACACCTGTCTCTTGTATCTTTTTTGCTACTTATTTAGAATTTACACTGATATTTGTTTACTCTTTGTTATTATATTATATTGTGATGTGTGAGAGCTACTGTGTCCAAATATTTTCCCTTGATGATAAATAATCACAATAAATCAATAAAGCTTGTCTAAGTCTAAAACTAACCACTATGCTGCTAAGTCATATATCCACAGACTATGAACAGGGGAGGTACTATCATGTGTAATTATAAAGGGCCCCTTTTTCCACAGGGACAGATTTGAGACAAGATTATTTCACATCTGAAGACGGCCGTGCTCTGAGTGAGGTAGATGAGGAGGTGGTGATAGGAGCGCATGCTGACGGAGGTGAACTACATCCGTCGCAACTGCCCTGGGACAGATCAACAGAGAACCTTTTAATACATACAACATGGCAAGAGATGAGGGAGGTAAAACCCAAGTAGTCAGATAGTGTAATCCCTCCAGCCACCTACTCCTGACCAGGGACTTGTCACTGAGTCTGTCGAACAATGGGTAAAATATAAGCATAAATTTATCTAGACATTTTTAGTTTGTATAACGTGACATCCATTAATTATTAGCCCACTATAGAAGATTTCCACTCTGAATGTATAGTGCCTGTATATAATGTATATAGATAGGTTTAATGCCACAGTATGGAACATTCCAGGCAAAGCAAATTGGACAAAATGGACTCTTGAGAGCTTTAAGACATGTTAGAATGTTGTTACCTCCTCAAAAAAGTTGTGTTTTGTTTCATTCACACAGGTTTGAATAATCCTACATTATTAGTCTGTCTACATCTCCAAAGCTCAAAATGCTCTGTTCCACCTTGTGACGTCACGAAGCGGTAGTTTTGAAGTTAACGGCTCCTTTTAAGCTTCAGTAGAGATTGTCAATTCCTGGGCAGAAGTCATCCAAATGATTCTAGTGAAGGAGTAGGGCGTTCAAGCAGCCTGTGCCAACTCTGCACAAAAAAGCCCGGCAGTCGAACAAAGAAAGTTCTTGCTGTGAAGCGTGAGATAAAACTGACACTGATAAAAACTTACATGAGATACGTGTGCTCCAGTTACATTTTATTGTCATTCCCATACTGACAAGATAAGACAAGAACCTTCCTTAACGGATCAATTTTAGAGTAAAAAAGTACAACTACATTTGAATAAAAATGATAACCGTGCAAGACAAATAACGAGCCAGTGTTTTCTGTGACATAAATCTAAAAATGATGGGTCCTTCTCTTCACTGCAGTGTGGATTTTTGGTGAGTGGGTTTGAAGTGTGTGTGGCCCCCGTCTGCATTTGACTTTCACACCTGGGTGTTTGGCTTTACGGGGGTCAGGCCATTTGTTGTTTGGTCACTTGTGTTTGCTGTGAAGGAATGAGGGATTAATGAGACTGTAAAACCTGCACTGGACTAAACCCAGGCATAAACCAGGGCTAAACCAGTCCTAAACCAGGACAGAACTGGGACTAAACCAGGGCTAAACCAGGATCCAAGTCTATCTAAAGTCTAATTCAAAACATCTAAACCAAGCATAAATATCACTGAACTGATCTTAAAGGTGCACTTTGTAACTTTTCTGGTAGAATGTCCGTCATTTGCTCGTTTCCATGCCGATGTTATAGCTTTCCCTTGAATGCTCCGCAGTATGGTATTAGACATATCTTACATTTATACAATTATGGGTGTATTTGTGCTCAGAAATACATAAAAAGAAACTTGTATTCTTATTGTGAGTGGAGTTGCAGCTCCACAGCTCTAACTTGTAACTTTGCCTGGTCGTGTTATCTGCTTGTCTCCATGGATATAGACAAGTTTAATACCATACTGTGTAAAGTTCAAAGTAAAGCAACAACATACACATGGAGACAATCAGGTTATGGACCCTCCACCAGAAAGAAGCTACACTGTGCACCTTTAAACAACTCAAATAGGTCTATGTAAGCTAAGTCAAAACTAGAATTAATAAAATCTAAACCACAGCTCAAGCCTAGGGTGACCAGACGTCCTTATTTACCTGGAACAGTCCTAGTTTGGAGTCCTGTGCCCCCTTTCCCAGCAGATTTTACCAAAACAAATGATTTATCCTAGTTTTATGCAAGAAATGTCCCAAGTGTCCATATTTTTGACCAATTTGATCCCTGTCAACAGTAAAGAGATGCATAAATAGTCACTTGTTAAATAAGATACAGAAAAGCTGCTTAAAAATGACCAAAGCTTAAAGAAAATGTGACTATACTGGCTCACATTAGTCGTGAATAAATCATGAATGGGCCGAGTGTTTAACAATTTTCCTTAATTACGCACTCGTTTCACAATTTTATTATTACCACCCTACTCAGGTTGACTCTTTCACAATCTAAAACTATTATTTCTTTGATTTTGGTAAGATAAGTCTCAATTGATTCAGTCTAAATTACAATAAGAGCCAAGAACGTAGCCATCTTGCTTAGTCAAATAACCTCTCCACGTGGCTTTAGCTTTCCCGTGTAATTCTCAACTTTTTGCGCATAAAATTAAATCTTTCACTACTTTTTAATCATCTTACCAAGTGCATACCCGTGCACTCTGGTCGGTTTCTCTTTAGGGGGAGCGCTGGTAGAGCTTGTGCCCTCCTCCTGCCTCTCTCGCTCGGCTGCACAGGCCGGGGGGAGGTCCATCCCGCGGGCCACAGAAGGTGCAGCGACTCGGAGCCAACACTCTGCGCGCAACAGCCTGGTCGCACTTTCTTCCTACGGGACTCCACTTTTCCCCCGCTCCCTTTTAGTCACTTTAGCATACAATCCAACTGTCTAGCTTATCAAATGCTACTGTTTTAGAAGTTTGCTTGACTTTTCAGCTTGTTTTCTCTTGCGGTTCTTCTTGACGGGGGGAGGCAGACAGGTGGACAGGATGCAGCCGCCGGTCGGGACTGCAGTGCGGGCGGCCAGGATAGGGTCACTCTGCCCGCTCCTGGTGCTGGCAGTGGCGGCATGTTTGACCACGGGATATGCCCAGGAGCTGCCCACGAACGGAGTGAACGGGTACAGTTTGCACCCGCCGTATTTTAACCTGGCAGAGGGCACAAAAATCACGGCGACGGCGACGTGCGGAGAGGACGAAAGCGGCAGAGCGGTGCATGACCTGTACTGTAAGCTAGTGGGAGGCCCCGTGTCCGGAGACCCAAGCCAAACCATCCAGGTGAGGTTTAGCACGTTTTGTTCCGACTGTGTTGAACTTACTCTGTTTTTATAAAGATATGTTGAGATTTACGCACCTTTTTACGCACCTGTGCCATTAACCAAACATTGCAATGGGTCGTTTTTGCGTTTAAGTGATTTCATTATGCACCAAATTAGCATTGAGTGGAGGCATTGAAGGTGCACTGCGTAACTTTTTGTTTTGGGTCCATCACCTGCTTGTTTCTATGTATATGTGACTGCTCTGCCTGAAATGTCCCACAGAATGACATTAAATAGCTCTACTTTACATTTATTCAATTACAGGTGGTTTTATGCTCAAAAATACCCAGAAAAACTGCATTTTAACTGTGAGTGGGGTTGCCTCTCCACAGATCTGACCTGTAACTTGGCCTGGTTTGGTTTACATGAAAATAAAAAGGTTTAACTAATACTATACTGTGACACAGTCCAGACAAAGCAATAACAAAGCATTTGATGGACCCTCCACCAGAAAAGTTACACAGTGCATCTTTAAATCGCAATCTAAAGCAGGGGTGGGTATAAAATAAAGAATGAAGTTAAGTTTAAGTTAAGTTAAGTATGAATAAATGGGTATATAGACAAAAATCTCAGCAAATACCTAAATTTTTACAAGTCTGCTAAATCTAAGGATACAAATGACTCACTATATACAAACAAACCAACATTCTCCAATTTGATGCCTCACCAAATAAGTCTAAACCAAGTAAGGTGTTTTTTTTTCTCCTTTTAATTTGACTTCCTTGTCCTTGTGTAACTACAGAGCAGCTTAGGGCAGTTGTAGACCAGTGATTAGCTTTAGATTACTTTATTGCAGCAAATTAGCACAAAGGTGTAACTACCAGGATCAGACTAGGACTGGGAAATGAACTGGGAAAGAATACAACTCCTACTCCTACTTCTGCTTCTGTTGTTTTAATGCCTGCCAATTTTAAACATGTTTTGACAGGGGAATGATGATGAAAGGCTTATTATAGCAAACTGTATGCTGATCTGGAAATAATGAACAAAAGTTGAATCAGGAGTATAAAAAAGCCAAACATAGAGCTGATTTTTCCACCAAATAGTCATGTAATTTGGCATCAGAGGTGGGTAGAGTAGCCAAAAATTGTACTCAAGTAAGAGTAGCGTTACTTCAGAATACTTAAAAATATTACTCTAGTCTAGAAGAAGAAAGTAGTGGTCCAAGAAATTACCCAAGTAACAGTAAAAAGTATTTTGGAATGGACTACTCAAGTAAGAGTAACTTAAAGAGTAGCTGTCGGGGCATAACATCTGATTTAAAATGATTATTTAATGTAATTTGAAGGACTAAACATTAAATATAGAACAAAATCGAACACAAAAATAAGGAGCGTCGCAAGAAAAACAAATAATAATCATAATCAAATCATTTAAAAGTGTCAACCTAAAGCTTTTGTCACTTGTAGGCTCACAGCAGGAAGAGTAACCACAACTTTTACTTGAGTATGAGTACTGTTACTTCAGTAAAAATATTCCTCAAGTACAGGTATGCTGCTAGAAAAGTACAGTTTCTTTTATCTAGTTGCTACTCCAAACTCAACTTTCTACTTTCCAAGATATTCATTCTACAATGGACTACTTTCCCTTTCCCTTGATACCACTGAAGTATATTTATGACCACTTTACGGTAGGTCCCTCTTCTTTGGCCCTCAGAGTGGACAGTGGAGGAGAGTGGAGGTCAGATCTGTGTACTTTTTGCCAAGTCATTTTTCCGTGCGGTGCTTCCTTTGTAGAACTTGGCAGCACATGACTCAGCCTCCTTATAAGAGAACAGACAGGCAACCAGTCTTCACTCCGCACAAACTCATATTCTATAAGCTCAGCAAATCTTTCAGTGTGGACTTTTCTATCCCCGAGCAGTTTTACGATATATTACTACTGTGTAACATCGTCATAGTAACAAGTATCAATACGTTATGTTTGCCTTCTGGTGATTCTTGTTCCAGGTTGGTAAAGTAAGAGTAAAGTAAAGTAAAAATCTTAAGTGTCTGTACTGTACTTTTTACTTTTACTTCACTACATTTGAAAGCAGATATCTGTACTTTCCACTCCACTACATTTTAGATCTGAACTGAAAAGTAAAAAGTAAAAACCCCAATTTGAACATGTGACCTACACCTATTACTGTAAATCTGCTTTTAACTTTATCTGCCATGTGGTATTAAAGGCTTTTAACAATTTTATTCTTTTTGAGTGTCTCAGCTTTTTCAACTTTGTATTCGCGACTACTCCCTACACTGACGAGCACCAAAAGAACAATTTTGCACAATCTGTACACATCCAAGTAACACTCCTGCCCCCTAAAGTTTTGCAGTACTTTTCTTTATACACAAAAACGCCTAGAAAATTAAGAAATCAATTGAATCACTTAAAATCTACTAAATTCTTTTTCAAAATCAATACGTTTCACCCTTTAATTGTTCTAAAACTCTCTTCAAAACATATGAAAGAGTTATAAAGAGTTTAAATATATTACATTTGTACATTTATTAAGTAGATTTTTTCATGTGATATTTTTACTTTTACTTGAGTAACTTTTTACCTTTTTAACCTTTTTATCTGTGCTTTTGCTTTTAAAGATGCATTTTGCAATTTTTCTGGTGGAGGGTTTGCCACATGCTTGTCTGTTTATTTAGATTATTATCTATTATTCTATCGTTTATTATTTATTTATTAGATGTGACCTGTGGCATTGCTGTGTCACCTGGTTGTCTTATTGGAGATAAGGACTAGAACAGGACAAGACCAGGACTAGACCACGACTAGAACAGGTCTAGACCAGGACTAGAACAGGACTAGAACAGGATTAACCCATAGTAGAACATGACAAGACCAGGACTAGACCAGGACTGAAACAGGACTAGATCAGTACTAGAACAGGACAAGACCAGGATTAGACCAGGACTAGACCAGGACAAGACCAGGACTAGACCAGGACTAGACCAGGACTAGACCAGGACTAGACCAGGACTAGACCAGGACTAAACCAGGACTAGACAAGGACTAGAACAGGACAAGACCAGGACAAGACCAGGACTAGACCAGTACTAGAACAGGACAAGAACAGGACAAGACCAGGATCAAACCAGGACTAGACCAGGACTAGAACAGGATCAGACCAGGACTAGACCAGGACTAGACAAGGATTAGACCAGAACAAGACCAGGACAAGACCAGGACTAGACCAGTACTAGAACAGGACAAGACCAGGACAAGACCAGGATCAAACCAGGACTAGACCAGGACTAGAACAGGACAAGAACAGGACAAGAACAGGACAAGACCAGGATCAGACCAGGACTAGACCAGGACTAGACCAGGACTAGACCAGGACTAGACAAGGATTAGACCAGGACAAGACCAGGACAAGACCAGGACTAGACCAGGACTAGAACAGGACAAGACCAGGACAAGACCAGGATCAAACCAGGACTAGACCAGGACTAGAAGAGGATCAGACCAGGACTAGACCAGGACTAGACAAGTATTTGAACAGGACAAGACCAGGACAAGACCAGGACTAGACCAGTACTAGAACAGGACTAGAACAGGACAAGACCAGGATCAGACCAGGACTAGACCAGGACTAGAACAGGATCAGACCAGGACTAGACCAGGATTAGACCAGGACTAGACCAAAACTAGACTAGGACTAGACTGGGAGTAGGACAATTGTGATTGCACCTTTAGTTTTGTTCTGGTTTAGCCTCGGTAGTACTTGCAAAATGAAATATATATTAGCAGATAGAATTAATATATATATATTTTTTCGTTTATTTTAAGCAAGAAGGTATAAAAAGTTTAAGAGTGCATTTATTTATTTATAGCACACTACTACTCATTCATAAATTCATTGTTGTGCTGAAAATTCCTATGGGTGCTCAGAAGGATCAGTTGCATACCTAAGTTGCCTGTGTCCCGGGGCTGAATAACTCTCCTATGCCACCTCAAAGTAATTAAAATGACTGCTCTCTCCCTTCTATAAAACCTACATTATAACAGCGCAGTAAGAAATAATGTATTAAAATTATAATATTTTAAGAAATTACATAGATTTTATTTGCAATATTATTTTTTACTAGTTTAAAGGTTATGTTATAATGTTGTATATGTATATTTTTGATGAAGAAACAACATTATAATATATATCAGTAAAAAGCAAAATATGGAACCTTTATATTTTATTTGCATTTTTATCTTTTAGTAGTTTAACAGTTGGGCCATGGTAAGCTTTGCTGCACGTACAGTCAGTTCAACGTTAGCGATTTTTGTCAGCTTTCTGTGCGGATCAACCTAGTCTGGAGCAGGACACGGGTCAGTCACTGGGAGGAATGTGGAGAGAGAGAGAGCAGGTGGAGAGAGAGAGAAAAAGAGAGATAGAGAAAGAATGAACAGAGGGAGAGAGGGAGCGAGAGAGGGAAAGAGGGCAGTGAGGTGAGGTTATCTCCCTGAGGACTTCTCTAATGGTTAACCCATAAAGCTGTTATAATCCCGGCTGGAGTTTGAGACTGGATACCTGCGGCTTAATCATCGCTTAAAGACCGGTTGAATTTTAACAACAAACTCATCAGAAAGTCATCGGCAACAAAAGTATTTTCATAGACAATAAAAGCCGTAGTAGTGCAGATAAACAGTAATTAAGAGTTTATATGATGGGCAGGATAGGAAGTGTTAAAGCAGAATCAATAACAGAGCTTGTGTGGAAAAATATTGAAATATTGGCATATCGTATCGGTTAATGTGATGATACAGGATCGATATCGTGAGCTGCTGTATCGATATATCGCCAAGAGTAGTTTTTGGTGTATTTTACTAAATTATTTTGTTACAGCGCTACAGATTTGTTGCTCGTTTAGTGAAATTCAACTCATTTATGCGACACATTTGATATTTTCACAGTTTTGATGAGTAAAATGTTTGTGTTTCATATTAACTTTGCACAAGAAGTGGTTTAAC